TATTGTAACAACCACTTGTACCCATAGATTCAGCGACACATATACAACTGTAATATACACATTGTAACAACCACTTGTACCCATAGATTCCACGACACGTAAACAACTGTAATATACATATTGTAACAATCAGTTGTACCCATAGATTGCGTGACACGTAAACAACTGTAATATACACATTGTAACAACCACTTGTACCCCTAACTTCCGTGACACGTATACAACTGTAATATACATATTGTAACAATCACTTGTACCCATAGATTCCGGACACGTATACAACTGTAATATACAAATTGTAACAATCACTTGTACCCATAGATTCAGTGACACGTATACAACTGTAATATACAAATTGTAACAATCACTTGTACCCATAGATTCAGTGACACGTATACAACTGTAATATACAAATTGTAACAATCAGTTGTACCCATAGAAATTCCGTGACACGTAACACACCATGCGGCTATCACAGTATGACGTGTGTGTACGATAACGTTGATACCTTGAAGGTCACATGCAACCCAAAAAATCAAACATAATTGAAACACAATTATCACTTATTCATGACATATAATATACATTGCTGGTTAAAAACTAAATTATAAGCGTACAATCGCAAATCAAAAGTGCAATATTTTGAACTTGGGTTTACTTCCCAAGAAACGAAGCAGCCGGGATACCTAACCCAGTCAGAGCGGGTGGGTGTGCACTCAAGTGTAACGGCTGGTTCATCAGCAGATGCCTCCCACACGGCTCATTGTGTGTGTATATATAGAGATGTTGGTTTTGTGAATACATGCTCATTTTTTGTGTATAACATTTTGCAATCAACAGACATCATAACATGTCATGTGTACAAGTATCACACAAGTGCTATGAGCACAGACCAGCTCTTGAAACCTCTTCAATTCCCCCAAGCGCTGGAAAGTTAGTGAATCGTTTAAACGACGATTTCGCGCGGTTTTTTCCATCGCGTTATTTTGCAACTTTATAAGTTGAATTTGCATTTTTGATGATTTGTTTCGGTAAGTCCATACCGAAAGGTATCAGAATCTGCAAAGTTGTGTTTTACGTTGCATGTGACCTTTAACTGAACTATGTGCATAATTCACACGTCAGCCTTTTGGAAGAGCTTTTACAGAGTTGTGTCCCTTTAACAATCTTGCTCAAGTTACAACACTGTTTGTAGTGTCTCATAGTCCCTTTGTGTGCTTTTTCGAAGCTGAACAGGAAGTTAGGGACGCTGGAAAATTGTGATGACATGTAAATAATGACATATTTACGTTTCAATTTCTGACCAGCAAACAAACAACAAACTTATATGATGTGATAAACAACTGTAATATTGACTAAGTTCACAACTGTAATATTGACTAAGTTCACAACTGTAATATTGACTAAGTTCACAACTGTAATATGAACTAGGTTCACAACTGTAATATTAACTAAGTGCACAACTGTAATATGAACTAAGTTCACAACTGTAATATGAACTAAGTTCACAACTGTAATATTAACTAAGTTCACAACTGTAATATTGACTAAGTTCACAACTGTAATATTAAGCAAGTTCACAACTGTAATATTGACTAAGTTCACAACTGTAATATTAAGCAAGTTCACAACTGTAATATTGACTAAGTTCACAACTGTAATATTAAGCAAGTTCACAACTGTAATATTGACTAAGTTCACAACTGTAATATTAAGCAAGTTCACAACTGTAATATTGACTAAGTTCACAACTGTAATATTAAGCAAGTTCACAACTGTAATATTGACTAAGTTCACAACTGTAATATTAAGCAAGTTCACAACTGTAATATTGACTAAGTTCACAACTGTAATATTAAGCAAGTTCACAACTGTAATATTGACTAAGTTCACAACTGTAATATTAAGCAAGTTCACAACTGTAATATTGACTAAGTTCACAACTGTAATATTAAGCAAGTTCACAACTGTAATATTGACTAAGTTCACAACTGTAATATTAAGCAAGTTCACAACTGTAGTATTGACTAAGTTCACAACTGTAATATTAAGCAAGTTCACAACTGTAATATTGACTAAGTTCACAACTGTAATATTAAGCAAGTTCACAACTGTAATATCGACTAAGTTCACAACTGTAATATTAAGCAAGTTCACAACTGTAATATTGACTAAGTTCACAACTGTAATATTAAGCAAGTTCACAACTGTAATATTGACTAAGTTCACAACTGTAATATTAAGCAAGTTCACAACTGTAATATTGACTAAGTTCACAACTGTAATATTAAGCAAGTTCACAACTGTAATATTGACTAAGTTCACAACTGTAATATTAAGCAAGTTCACAACTGTAATATTGACTAAGTTCACAACTGTAATATTAAGCAAGTTCACAACTGTAATATTGACTAAGTTCACAACTGTAATATTCAGCAAGTTCACAACTGTAATATCGACTAAGTTCTCAACTGTAATATTAAGCAAGTTCACAACTGTAATATTGACTAAGTTCACAACTGTAATATTAAGCAAGTTCACAACTGTAATATTGACTAAGTTCACAACTGTAATATTCAGCAAGTTCACAACTGTAATATCGACTAAGTTCTCAACTGTAATACATGCAGGAAGATATGACAGGAGTAACCTCTGGGGGAAGAGAATGCAGCTGATGAAGAAGATCAAGAATATCAGTTATATCTGGAAATAACAGCTGAATTATAGATGTCTTGACTTGAATTATAGATGTCTTGAAATGAATTTTGGATGTCTTGAAATGAATTATAGATATCTTGAAATGAATTATAGATATCTAGATGTCTTAAAATGAATTATAGATGTCTTGAAATGAATTATAGATATCTTGAAATGAATTATAGAATTCTCAAATAGAGGTAATGAATTTAATTTTTATTCAAATGTATCTTGAATTGAATTTAAGATATCTTGAATAGAGATATTCTAAACGATTTCCATGTATCTTTAAACCAAATACTTCCGTCTCTCTCTCTCTCTCTCTCTCTCTCTCTCTCTCTCTCTCTCTCTCTCTCTCTCTCTCTCTCTCTCTCTCTCTCTCTCTCTCTCTCTCTCTCTCTCTCTCTCTCTCTCTCTCTCTCTCTCTCTCTCTCTCCAATCATCTAGGAAAGGCACCAACCAATGATTTCAATCAAAACACTGGATTGTCTGGTCCAGACTCGATTATACACAGACCGCCGTCATATAGCTGGAATATTGCTGGGTGTGGCTTTAAACAACATTCTAAGATGCCTAGCGGTTAGAACAATCGAAAAAAAATACATTATCAGACAATAAAGGTATAGTTTTTTGATGACGTAACAATTGAATGACGTTATCCCGTCATTGCGCCATTCTAGTGTGCCCCCTCGTAATCGAACCATTTAACATTACGTCACAATGTAAGCGACGTGACGATGCATGTCAGTTGTCATCGCCTCGTACGGCCTCCTACAGTAAACTGCACCGTTGCATCCAGTTTCTTGGTTTGCTGTTGCTTCACGCAGCAAACATCACTGGTGGAAACATTACGTTTATGTTTTACGACGGTTAAAATGTGTCATTTCGACTCACAGATTTTCAGCGACACGGTAACGTTCGTAATGTTTACATTCCCACAATGCAATTGTGGAATGTCGCTTGACTACTCAACTTCCTCTGGGGCGGTATTCATAAAGAAACTAAGATTTTTCCTAAGTCCAAACTTAAGTTTTTTAAAACTGACTTAGCTAAGTCTGAGACTTAAGATGCTATTCATAAAGCTACTTAGTCAGAAACTTAGCTAAGTTTCCAAAGAAAAAATCATTTTTTTTCGTAGTGCATACCCGCGTGATCACTAGGGTGAATCCGAGTTATTTTTAGACTTCCGGCGGAACCTTTTATAAAAAGGTGTGAAAATGGCTTTCGTTGGGATCTCCCTTTTGCTATTTACGGCAGACGACACGTTGAGATACCGTAATACATTGTGAAAAATATGTCGGAGTCTGAGATAAAAAAGAGAAAATCTAATTGGACTAAAGACGAGGTCCTGCGTTTGACAGAACTCGTGAAAACAAACGCCAGAGTGTTGGAAGGGAAGTTTGGTCCGGGCGCGTCCTCGTGCTTTAACTGTAATAGTTCAGGGCAAAAGTGTGTTTTATTACACTATACATGGTGGTAGAGCGAAGTGTATTTCTTAAACCAAACCAAACTCTCTCTTTCTCTCTCGCACGTAAAATACACTGATTAAGCGTAACGAAGTACGTAACCATTAGCGTTGGGAATTGGTTAAAATCTCATAATTGATGATTGGTTCATTACCACCGATCAATCATCGAAAATAATTGGTTAGCCGCATTTATGAAATTTGTTAATGCACAAAAAAATAAGAAAAACAACATGTAGTTATTTTCGGGGGTTTGGTAAAATTTCACATCTTTAAAGGATGACTAGTATGTTAGGAACATAAATTTCTTGGTGTCTTTAAGATAAATTCAATCATGACTTGGAATGAGCTTATAGTGCTTATGAAATGTAACAGACAAAACCAACCTCGTGAAAAATATTGTTGATGAAAACAAGTGTACCAGAATTCTTTGTGTTCGATTATGAGAAAACATGATCGATTGCTTGGTTGTTTAGTCACTGGGGACCAATCTTCGATTATTTCAGTTAATGGGATCACCACTAGTAACCATGTACTTCTGTCATCAATTCTGACAGATTTTTGATAATGTTTCTTTACAAACTCGCCCTTGAATCTCTATTCAAGATATCTTCATTTCAGTTCAATATAAATTCAAAATAATTGAAGATGTTAGTAATTTCTCAATACATCATCTGTTAAGGATTGCTGGAACAATGAAATGTGGTGAGGTGAATTTCTGTTCTTAGTTGTAATCGAATCATGTTTACACTACTTGGTTTACTTATATATATTCAGTGTTTCACCAACCACTCAGTGATATATATATATTCTCGTTTTATCTGTTCAGAACTACACGATGTCCGTTAAAAGACAAGAATCTGGGTATGTGGACAACTGGCAGGCAAGGAAGACTCTTAAACAGTGTAATCTGCGCATGCTCGAAACCGAAGACTTCAGTGACGTCACCTTCCGGATGGGGTCACAGCAACAGGTGGTCCGAGCTCACCGTTATGTTCTTGTCAGTCGCAGCTGTGTGTTCCATGCCATGTTCTGTGGCCCCCTGGCGGAAAAAGGGACGGTAACCATTCCGGATATTGAGGCAGACATCTTCAAGGAATTCTTAAGGTGTGTTTAATCTACCAATTTTACAATTCATTTATTACCAAATAAAAATACCTTCCATAGTCGCAAGGCAGATATCATTGTCAAAATCTATGTAAGAAACTGCCAACTAAGATGTTTAATCATAAATGTCAAACTACGACATGGCATTGTGGACACCGTTTTATAATGATGCTTAGTTTTAAGTCAGTCTTTACATATAAACATACACACACACAAAAAAAAAAAATGAAACGCAGAAGTGACAGTAGTACATGAAATTTCATATATTTTTCAAAATTAGTGTTTCATTGTTATAATGTCGCCATTTAAATGTTGGTTTGTATACATGGAACGAATGACGGTGCAAAGACCGCATCTTCGGAAAATGTAATGCACGTTTACTTTCGAAATTAAAGTGCCAACTTGCATGAAAATGTCATGGAGGAAACGTGGTTCGAAAATATGCAAGTGCAATTCTGAGGAATCGTGAGCAGGGACATTGCCTGTATAAGGAGGTTTTGCTTTTAGACGGTCATTCGCATTTTTTAAGCTCAATGAAAGAATATAGTTATGCCGCGAATCACTGCTGTCAATAGAGACTCGAGGCTGGAGAGTCTCAAAATGCCGTTGCATGTGACCTCTATGTTCACCAGAGTACCATCAGTCGTTTATGGGACCGATAACAACAAACCGATTCTACGAAAGATCAGTCTCGAAGTGGTAGACCTCGGATTACCAATGCAGCGAAGGGTAGGTACATCCCGGTACATCATTTGCGGAATCGGTTTAGGATAGCGTCGGCGCAAACCATTCGTAATCGTTTACGACAAGCTGGATTTCGAGTCAGAAGACCCTATTTTGACTCTGTAGTGCGACGACGACATCGACGGGTCCAGAGGTTCAATAGTGTTTGATGCTGAAATCTACAAACTGGCGACGTGTATGGTTACGAATCACGCTTTCTGCTTCAGTGCCGTGACGGAAGAGTACGTGCCTATCGACGTCGAAATGAACATTCTGAACAGAATTGTGTTTGCAAGGTTGTCCGATATGGTGGTGATAGCTTTATGATGTGAGGACCCATTTCCTGCACACAGAAATCTAACTTCGTGCGCCTACAATTCGGTACAGAGACCGGAATCTTAAGAAATCATATGGTCCCGATCATTGACCGACAGAAGGAGTTGAGCCAGCAAAATAATGACAGGCCTCGCACAGCACATGCCGCTGTTCACGTTAATCTTGAACGTCAGCGTTCCAGACGTTAGATTAACTTTTGCTGGCATTGCAAGGGGAATGGACCAGAATTCCACAAGGTCGGATTCAAAGATTTATTCAGTCCATGTCGAGACGGTGCAGAAACGTTTTTGGGACTCATGGTAGCTACAATCGATATTGAAGGCAACGCCCAAGTGGGAACGGACACCTTCACTTAGTGAAAATTTTACAAGCTATACATTAGCGCTGGGACGGGTAACCCGGATATCCTGGACGGATGGGTAATCAGTTGGACCCGGGTACCCGTCTCAATACCCGGACCTGTTATGATCATGTGCCTAATTCATTAAACAATAAAATATGTTATTCTTTCATGATTAATAGGTTGTGCTGTCTTTGAAGATTTAGACATAATTTACTGTTTCCTGTTTTGAATATAATGCATGATTTAGATATTGAAAAACTCGAAATTTAAACTTCCGAATTGCAGAATATATTGCCATTTCTTACAACTTCGATGTCAGGAATTAACATAGCGGGTATCCGGGTAGGGTAGGGTAATAAGAGGTGGGGTACCCGGGTAGAAAATATGGACCTGTCCCAGCCCTACTATACATGTGAACAGACATTGTAGCATTTATACTGTGAAAAGTGGCTGCAACGGATCCAGAATTACATGCGTTATCTCACTTATTACTTAGCAGGTTAAATTCGTGAGTATAGGTTATAGCGCACTGCAATAATAAGTGCAAACTTTTATGTTTGTTAGCAAAACTGTTGAATATCAAGTTGAAGTTCAGTTTAGCAAAACTCAAGGAACAAAGTATGTACCAATATCATCTATGGCTAAGCTGCAAGTATTGAAGAAGTGTTGCTGAAAATACAGAAACATTTCATTACCCCTCTATCTTCAACACCCACATTTCCCGATGTGACTTCTAATATTTATGGGAAGTAATGTTTAAAAGAGCGGTGATTCACAAGAACAATTGTGTCTCCAACTGAACCATTATGATTTATTGTAGGTATATGTACACAGACAAGGCCCGAATCAACGCTGAAACAGTCACGGGACTTATGTACACATCCAGGAAATATTCTCTCGATGCACTGTACGATCTATGTGTAACTTTCCTGGAGGAGTCCCTGTCACAGGACAATGTCTGCCAGATCCTGGAGGAGTGTCATGGTTACGGGGAGCTGGACTTGGAACAGAAGGCCCTGAAGATCCTGACAGAAGGAGGGGAGAGAGTCACCAAGTCTCCAGGATTTGTGGGTCTTTGTTCTGATTGTCTAGGAAACTTCTTAAGAATTGACACGCTGAACCTGAAAGAGGAAGATATATTTGAAGCAGTGCTGTCCTGGACAAAGGAAAGATGCCGGAAGGAAGGGGTTAGTGACACGCCTGAGAACAGACGAATACTCTTGGGTGAAATGAGGTATGAGATCCGGTTTACCAGCCTACCTCAGGAGTATCTGGTGAAGGTTGTGGGCCCATCTGGATTACTGACAGCGGAGGAGAGAGTTAAAATTATGGACAGATCTATTGACTCTACTGTTGACATTTCACCATTTGCAGGTTTAAACCGAAAGCAAATACAGGAACCTGATATTTGTAAATACGTCAAAAGATTTGCAACTGAACCAAATGTCAAATTTGTTGTGACAGGAAGTCATGCTCTCTCGTTTTCTGTCGATCACAGGATTAAACTGAAAGGTTGTCAGCTGTATGGTGGATATGATGACATGGAGGTTCCGTTGAGTATTTCACTGTATGACCAAGATGAATCAAAGATAATTGAACTGGACACCGAGCAGCGGCTTCTCGGGTGTGGGCAGATGACTGACATCCTGTTCTCCGAGTCGGTACCGCTGCAGCCATTCACCACATACACTCTCTCTGTGCAAATGGACAGGCTTGACTGGTGTTACAATGGGTACGATGGAAAGCACACTGTAACCACTGATGGAGTTCAGTTCACGTTTTCAGGCGCCCAGAATTACAATACGGAGACAACAGCTCTGAAAGGAAACATACCTGGCTTCATATTCAGTATCCCAACATAAACATAGAATGTTAGTGGGTGATTGGACTGTGAATACATCAACCCAAATAGGTCACACTGACCACATCATCCCTCTAATTTGCATTCTATTATCAACTGAATGTACATCCATTACAGCTGTCGTCACACGACAAAACAACCTAATACCTGACGGTGTTAATCAGGAAACGTAATGATATGCAAAGTACCTGTCCCTATAGATGTACATATCAATTCTGTAGGAACGACCATGCTTAAAATCAACAACTGAAATGCACGTGTATGTGTATGTCGCTTGTATGGTCTAAGGGAAGTAACTCTATGTACATCATGTAACTTCACGCTCTTTTGTCTCATGCATCTATTGAATGAGTCAAACCTGCGTTTAACACGTCCGAACATATCTGCTTGCATGTCCTATTTATAAAATGTAGCTTTATTCACATCACATCTTCTAGCAGCAATTGACTGTTATTTTATGGTACTGTTTTGAATGTGTGAAATAGTACTTCCTCCTGCCTACCTTATGCCTGGTGATCAGGACGAATGTGATCATCAATACAATGTGAAGCCATCAATGGTTGTATAATTAACAATTGTACTAAAAAAATTAACACACTTCGGAAATATTTAAAAAACACTACAAAGGAAATAAACTGACAAATTAGAGGGGACGTACAAATTCATTAGCAACACAAATATGCTCATACCAATAACGGTTTTCACCCCCTTCAATTTTTTTTATTGGAGAGGGTGTTGGTGGTTAGGGTGGGAAGAGGGGTGACAAGCATTATTGGCATGAGTATACAATTATACATATGATATGAAAAGGTGAAAGATATTCTTTGCACAACCGTTGGCCTGATTGTAATTTGAAATGACGGAGACGCGACTTTTTATATAAAATACTCTTCATAAAAAAGAAACTTGACATGTTGTTTTGGAGTTTACTTAATGAGTTCTTATAACTGATTCAAACTTGACATTATTGCTCAGTTACAGTATAATCATCACTTTACAAATTTCCAAAACATGATTATCCAGAAAATGTTTGGAAAAAGCACAGAGGGCTATTAAAGCCACTTGGTCAGAGTAAAATGTTTCTTATCTGGTGTGACCACCATCAGCATCAATAACGGCTTGGCAGCGGTGACCCATAGAAGAACGGAGATGCCGAATGCTGTCTTGAGGAATATTGTGATACACTTGCTGTGTGCGATTCTTGTAGTGTCTGAGGTGGCGCAATCATCGATTAAGAGTATCCCATAGATGTTCAATGGGGGACAAATCTGGTGATCGAGAAGGCCAAGGTAACAACTGAACATTGTTTTGCTGGAAGAAGACCTGTCAAACACGTGCAACATGACGTCGAGCATTGTCATCCTCCAAAGATCACGTTGAAGTAGGGAACGACGTGACGTTGAACTGGTCTTCTGGCAAAAAGTCTGGCTTTCCATAGCCTATTGCGCACTGTCTGGTCGGAGATTCGGAGCAGTCCAGGGATTTGGGTTGTTGTTGATGATGAGGCCGTGGTGCTTAAATGAAAATGTCTTAACCGGGTGTAGCGATCCTGGGCGGCTGTGTTAACTCCAGGTCGACCTGACCTGGGTCTATCATTAACACTCCCAGTATTTTTGTATCGGGTCCATAGGTTTGAGATGGTCTGTCTGGTCACGCTGAAGTGCCTTGCCACATCATGTTGCGAAGTCCGTCCTTGTAAACGGCCGATGGCGTTGTGTCGTTGAGCTTCTGTCAGTCTTTTCATTCTTTTGTCTATAGTGGCTTAAAGCAATGCATGTGGAGTACCATTGATGTTGCTTTTTAAAACCCAGAGTCACAGGCTACAGCTCAGGATGATACACAATTTCATGATGAGGGTACATTTCATGTAGGATGCGTTTTAGCAGTCATCTACAGACGAGTGTAACGTTACGTTTTTGTTAAACGTTTCTTTTCTCAAACGTTTTTTCGTCGGCAACCATTTCTCCACATGCTGGGATTCAGCATGAATTGGTGTTTAAGATACTGTCAACCGTGACTACAATCAGTCTTTATTGACAAATGCGTTTGTTCTCAAATACTCTCAATAAATACTGTTGAAATAATTATTACTGTTGACTTGTTGTTGCTGCTGTTCTTGCTGCTGTTGCTGCTGCTGTTGTTGTTGCTGCTGCTGCTGCTACTGCTGCTTAGGCCATATTCATTTATATAATTTGTGATTATTTGGGTCATGTTCACTTGTATTTGTGTAGTGTGTGATGAACATTCCCCTTGGGTGAACTGCATTAATGTATACGGAAGATTTAGTGACATTTAGTGAGAAACGATCAACACGATCAACATGATGATATCAATCATCATGGCTAGAGAAGTCTCAGTTATCTGATCAACTGAGTGAGTGATTGAGTTATTATTTAACGTCACATCGGCAATATTTCAGCCATATCGTGACGAAAACTATTAATACATTAAAAAGTTAAATGAGAACATTTGACATTGAAATGGAATATATGTACGTTATAAAAACCTGTCGACGAAGGACAGTAAATCAACTAGAATATCAAAATTACAACCAAACCTAGTGTGGAGAGTTAAAACTAATAGCACTATTTGGACAATACAATATAAAAACATGCTATAGATCGCCAACACCAGAAGGTAGATCACCATACCAGGGACCATGGGGACTTACAGTACCTTGGCTACCTGCATGGACCCTAGTTGGATTTACACCATCCCTTCAGCTGCTAGCGATTGTTAGAAATGTTAGCCAAAATTAAAAATCCTGACAAGCTTAAATTGACCTTGAACATTTTGGGACTTACGTACCTTCTCAGGAGGACAATAAATTTACACTACTTCAACCCCTTTTGAGGGTACAGCCACTAACAATCTCAGTTACCAATAATAAAATATGTATTATTTACATGCTTGACCGTGATTCTTTCATCACAAGGGATACAAAACGGAGGAGCCTTACCTCATGAAGTAGTAGATATAATGGGGGTTCTGGACCACTTTCAACAAAAGCCTCTGCAAAGCCTTATTTGTGAAATAAGGCTTTGGTCGGGCCCTTAGCTCTTGCTACCATTACCCCTACTATGAAAAAGTTTGGGACGAACTCGCCACCGGGGACATGGTTGAAGTAACGGATATTGCCGCTATGCCGTGTTGACTGGAGGTAACACTGTGCCGTACGGTACGATCAATAATTCCGCTCTTACAAACCCCCTACCTGGCCCATCCCTCAAGTAGTACAAGTTAGGCTCGTCTGCTTTGATGTCCACTTTATCTATGTTGTAAGTTTTGACTGACCATATAGGATCGGTGGCTCGCTTACGACTATCACCCTCGTGTTCCCCTGGCTGGTATAGATACCTCACTAGGCCCTATCTGGTATCTGTTTCTCTTTGCCACGCAATGGAGCAGCCGATTCTGCCACTATTGATTTTAGTTTGATAGCGTCTGCCGGTTTCTTGCCGGTGAGACGGGTGACTTCATGGTTGATTGCCGACACCACCTTAGGCAACCTCGCGACCCATTCCGTCGATCGTTTTCCCGGGGTGGCCATCTCCCTCGCATACTGATGCCCGAATAAGCGCTCAGCCAAAGTCCTATTAAATCTCTCAACTATGGCTTGGCTGCGATGGGCTCCGGCCGTGCCACGCCTGACCTTTGTCTCGTGTTTGGCTAGCAGTTGTGACACGGCACCCATGAACTCCCGCTCGGGGTCAACTTGCAGCTCTGTTGGCCACGTCAGCGGACTGCGTTTGTATTTGCGTTCGAATCCGCGGGCTACCTGGGCCGAATCTTTCGTGGTCAAGGGTTCAGCTTCCTTGTAACGACTAGCCACATCCACGACAGTTAAGGCATACTTGTACCTATTGTCGTGGGGGTAGGAACAGTAGGTCTGCCTGGTGAAAGCTATTAGGTATGTTAATACCGAACCTCCTTCTAGGCACGTAGCGTGGTGCCGGCAAATAGATCTGCCACAGGGCTTGTTTTTCAAGCCACGCTTTGGCCTCCTCCGGGGGTACTCGCGCCATTTTAGCTAGCTTATCTACAGCGCTAGCTCCTTTCCAGTACCCACGCGGGCTATAGTAAATAGCCTCAAACTTTTTCTGGTTCCGTGACATGTTCAATTTTCTCATGCCCATACGCTGCGACGCGTGTTTATCCCATCAATAGCTATCCAACGTTTAGTGTCCATAGGCGACAGGGACGTCTTGTTTATAGTCAGTCCGTATATCTTATGCCCATCACTTCTAAGCGTGTTCATTTTATGCCTAAAGGTACGGGTCTTGAACAGGGCTTCCTTGAATCTGGCGTGTTTGATGTGTTGTTTCACCACATACTTCTTAACACCCTTAGCCTTCCGGATCTCACCATTGTCGGCCTTCAGTATGGAATACATCTTAGGCCTCAAACCTATGTACTCGGCTATGGGCGTGCCAGCACACTTGTCCTTCATCTTGCCTAGGACCTTTTTATTTACCGTGCTGTGTATGGCATGGTCCTTAGGGTAGTCGCTGGTGTCGTACAAATCGAGGTGTTTTTTCATGTCCTCGTACACGTCCTCGGTTCGAATCTCCATTAGCAGGGAATCCGTGTCAGTGTACAGAACTTCACACCTGTCGTCGTACTGTTTCTTAAGCTCGTTGTAGTAAAAGTCGTACATCAGGTGTTTGGATAAATCGAGGATGCTCATCCCAACGTAAACAGGCCGGTTGAATTTTATGTGGCTTTTCTTCATGTGTAGGGCAACTAGGTCATCAGTGAATATCTTGCTACGGTTGAATGCCGGACTGGCTATCAGTCTCCTGAGCTTGTCTTCCTCATTCGAACGAACCAGCTTCACGGTCACGCGTTTCCTCAGGTTCTCCATAGTCTTACCAAACACCGAGTTGTTCATGAGCTTATAGAGATTTTTCTCAAAGTCACTGGTGGCAAGCTTTCGGAGGTCTGTGTTCATTCTGATGTAGGGCTCCATCCATGGGCTCTGGTTGAACACGAGCACCCTGT